TAAACAGGACAGGTGAAATATTATCATGTAAAGGAACCATAAACCCATGAAAAGACCTAGGTTTACAATTTATGAGTAAAACTCTACTATCTACACAATGTACATAGACATCAAATGTAAAAACTTAAATATCTTAGAAATAGTAGCCAATCAGTTGTTTTAATTGTCATATTTGAATTCAGCACATCAAAATACATAATAAATAGCACATTTTATCTCTGAAGCAGACGACTTCTCAAAAATTGTAGACTGGGGGGAGGGATAGCTCAGTGGTTTGAGCATTGGGGGGGCCACTTAGGGATCTGGGGCAAAATCAGTACTTGGTCCTGCTAGTGAAGGCAGGGGGCTGGATTCGATAGGATATCTCCATTAATTTTTTAGTGTAATACAAATAATACGTATATTCCTTGCAGATTGTCATTTCTAACCCATCCCAGAGCTCTTGGCTATGTCCACTTATGGTTAAAGGGACACTATCAATTTAGAAATCAAGTTTCTGTCCTAAAAGTATTTACCTGCTATTGTAAGTAGCTCCAAAGGTCCCGGCGGCCCTGCCAATGGTGGGGCACAGCAACATTAAAGTACTGCCGCGGCTTTAATGTCCCTGCCCCTTTTGCTTCCCCTGTCGGCGGCCCTGCCAGTACAGATCTTACCGGCAGGGCCCCCGACAGGGGAGGCAAAAGGGGTCAGCTGGGTATGGGCAAGTGGCTGTAGGTAAGATAATATGCCTATAGGCCTTTCTTTCTTTAAGCCCTTTTCTCTCTGACAACTGTGTTCCAATGGATGGATAAATAATATTTTGTTTTGAAGAAACTGTTTGGAGTCACCTTCATTTTCATACTGATCACTGCTCCTGAAGGAAAGATTCTAGTAGGGACCAAACCTGTTGAGAAAACAAGAATGGTAAAAAGGGGTGCTGTCACCCGGAGAGCCAGTATAAAAGTGGGGTGAATCATAGGATTCCATTGAGAGAAATGAAGGGGCTGGGCCTATCAATTGAAAGGGGAGCCCACCAAGACACTGAGTGAAGGATCAAAGGGCCAGCTTACCCTGGAACTATGACAAGAGGAAAATACAATTCCTTTTATTTGGCTGCAGATGGAAGAAGGCCTTATTGAAAATAATAAAGCTAGCAAAGGTATTTTATCCAGGAAGTCTGTCCTCTGAGAATGTTCTATAATGAAAAAGGCCAAATTA